ATTTGCTCATGCACATTGTCGTTATCTATGGTGAATTGTGGTGGTGTTGGATCTGAAACAATATTTGGGGCACCAAAATTAGAATTAGGAGATATTGTGGGCTTTTCAATGTCTTCTAATGTTTGGTTTTCATGGAACACTACGTCCCTGCTTCTGATGACCTTCTTTGTCTTTGGGTCCCATAATCTGTATCCAAATTCCTCATCTCCATAGCCTATAAAGATGTATGGAGTGGTTCTTGCATCTAACTTTTGTCTTAGCTCCTTGGATACATGCGCAAAGGCTAAACAGCCAAATACTCTCAGGTGAGAGTAGGAGGGATATTTACCATACCATACTTTCTCCAGAATTTCAAAATTCAACGGCACTGATGGTGATCTGTTGATCAAGTAGCAGGCGGTTCAGGCGGTTCGAACAGCTTCTCCCCAAAATGGCTTTGGCAGCTTAGCCATACTTATCATGCTTTTGACCTTTCCATGATCTTCCAATTCATCCTCTCGGCGACTCCATTATGTTGTGGGGTACGTGGGACCGTCTTCTCATGTCGAATGCCGTATGTCTTGCAATAGGCATCAAACTCTTTGGAAGTATACTCGCCTCCATTAACTGTGTGGAGACATTTCAGCTTCTTTCCTATTTCACACTCTACCATGGCATGAAATGATTTGAAGTAATCCAATACTTGGTCCTTCGTCTTCGAGAAATATACCCACACCTTTCGAGAAGCGTCATCAATGAATGTTAAAAAATACTTGGTACCGCCTAGTGATTCAACCTCCAAGGGACCACAAACATCAGAGTGTACTAGATTGAGCAACTCTGATCGTCTTGTAGAAGAGAAATTGAAGGAGACTCTATGTTGCTTACCAAATAAACAGTGACTGTAAGGATCCAGTGCAACTTCCTTGGCAATTGTGATTAGCTCCTTCTTTGTCAAAGTAGACAATCCATTCTCACTCATGTAACCAAGTCTCTAGTGCCTCAAATTTTGAGAAGCTTCACGTTCTACTACGTTGAGGCTATCCACATGCATTTTCATATGAGTCTTGTATAAAGTGTCACATATATGTCCTCGAGCGACAACCATGGAGCCTTTTATCATTTTCCATGTGCTATTGCTAAATTGATTGACATGGCCCTGTTTGTCAAGGGCTATCCCTGAAAGTAGATTTAATCGAAGATCAGGTACATGTCGAACATCCTTCAGGGTTATTTTATACCCAAGGTTCGTTTGTATCTGAATATCACCAATTCCTATGATCTTAGAAGAACTGGTATTTCCTATCTTCACTGCACCAAAGTCGTCGGCTTTGTATGTTGTGAAGAAATCTTTGCGTGGAGTGACGTGATAAGATGTTGCAGTGTCTATTACCCACTCAATATCTTGGTTTGAGACATGAAGACATGTCTCATCATGGATGGAGCAGATAGCCACCTCTCCAGAAATAGTGACTAGCATCTCTCCTTCCTTATTTTTCGGCTACGAACTGTTGTGGCCTTGCTCTCGTAGTAATTTTCTGCAGTTCTTCTTCAAGTGGCCCTCCATACCACAATAGTAGCACTTGTAAGTAGGCTTCCTTCCATCTATGGATCTACCCCTACTTTTGCTTCTGCCTCTCCCCCTGCCTCGAACGCTTCCTTGCTGTCTTTCCCGGTTCACTGTGACAAGGGCATGTGATTGGTCCGTGTCTACGAATTTTCTTCTGGGCTCTTCATTAAATAGGGCATCCTTAACCATAGACATGGTAAGTTTGCTATCAGGGGCTGAGTTGCTAAGAGATACTACTAATGTCTCCCAACTATCAAGAAGAGAACTTAAAAGTAGTAAGGCTTGTATTTCATCCCCAAGTGGCATCTCCACGGATGACAATTGGTTTACCAAGCTCTGAAATTCACCGGTGTGCTCAGCAACTGAAGTTCCACTCTTTAACTTTAGATTCACCAAACGCCTCATCAACATGGCTTTGTTTCAAGTGGTCTTGGCTTGGTACATGTCCTCCAGAATCTTCCAGAAGGCATATGCATCTCTCCTGTGCTACATGGTGAAAAACACTATGGTCAATCCATTGTCGAATTTGACCGATAGTTTTTCTATTTAGCTTCTTTCACTTCGCCTCCTTGGTAGGATCGGGGTTTTCACCTTTAGCTTCCAAGGGGTCATACAAATCCTTACAACTAAGGAAGTTTTCCATCCGAGGCCTCCACAGTGTGTAATTGGTGGCAGTGAGCTTGATCATAGCTCCTGATGAAGATTCCTTCATTGACATCTTGGCTTGCAAAAGCTTTATCAAAAACTACAAAGGCTAATTGATGAACCTGGCTCTGATACCACTTGTTGTGATTCTTCGATCACGAGAAGAGAATAAAAGAGGAAAAATAATTCTATTTCTACTTGAATAGAATTTACAACGGAGTTTACAAACTCAAAAAAAACCTCTCAAAAGATTTTCTCTAATATCTCTTTTTTTCTCTCTTCTCTATACTATTTTTATTCCTCTCAAGGGACCTCTAATTCTCTTTATTGTAGCTCATATTTATAGAAGAATTTTGGCTACAAACCGTCATAAACTTGTGGCCAAAAACCAATCAAGAATTGCGACTAGAGAATTTCATTTTAAATTGTCTTCTTGCATGGATGTTTCTTTTCCATTAAGCAATTGAAGTTGTGGCCGTCAAAAGGTGAAGAGTTTTAATTCAAATTTTCTTCTTCATCCATGCATGTGAATTCTTCTACATTAAGAAATGAAATTCAACAATTTCGCTTGGAAGAAGCTGGAAGAAACTTGATTAATATGCGGCTGGAACACATCACATTATTCAAGCATGCACCAAAGCGTACTCATTTACCCTCGGCCTCCAGCTTCACTGCTATGTGCTCAAATCTGGCCTAGAAACCGACTGTTGTGTGGGCAACAACCTTCTTGCCTTTTACTTCAAATTGGGTCCCAACTTTTCCGATTGATGGGTTGTATTAGAAGGATGCTGTATCTTGGACCTCGATTAGATACGAGATCCTACTGTATTTGGATATGCTTGATTTTGGTATGGCCGAATGCGTTCACTTTATCTGCCTGTGACCAGGGCGTCTGGGGAGTTCAGGGAGCTGAGCATGGGGAAATGTTTCCACGCGGCGATCATTAAATTTGGCTTTGTATTTAATAATTTGATTATCAGCGCATTGATTATTCGCTTAAGATGTTCGATAAAATGCTCGAACCAGACTTTATTTGTTGGACTTTAATGATTTCTGCACTCACGATGAGCGATTTATATGCTCAGGCTTTGCAATTGATCATTTTATGCGTAGGAATTAAGGTTTTCGCCAGATGGGTATACATTTGGTAGTATTTTGACTGCTTTAGGAGATTTAGGGAGGTTAAAGCAAGGTAAAGAACTGCATGCTAAGGTTCTCACGGTGGTTTTTGTAAGGATAATATTTTCGTGGAGAGTAGTTTTATTGATAAACGCGAAATGTGGGTTAGTAAATGAGTCACGGAGTGCGTTTGATCAAATGGATAAGAAGAATTCAGTTTCATGGTGTAAGTTGCTTGGGGGAATATTGTGAAAAGGGCGAGTTTGAAACCGTTGTTCATTCTTCCAGAAGTATGGAGGTTGATCTTTATAGTTCTGGGACGGTCTACGTTCCTGTGCTGGTTTGACTGCTGTTGAAAGGAGGTACATTGCAAGTGCCTGAAGAGAGGTGGTTGGAAGGATGTAGTTGAATCAGCTTTAGTTGATTTGTACGCAAAATGGAGCTTTTTGAACTTTGCATATAGGATTTTCAAGACTACGCATCTTAGAAATTCAATTACATGGAATTCAATGGTTAAACGGATTTGCTCAGAATGGCAGGGGTGAAGAAGCGATTAGAATATTCAACAATATGATTCAAGGTGACGTCAGGCCCGATTATGTAAGCTTCAAACGCGTGCTTTTTGCTTGCAGACACAAATACAGTGGTTTGGTTGATCAAGAGCGAGAGTACTCATCTCAAAGAGTATGGATTATGGGATTAAAGTTGGAATTGAGCATTATAGTTGCATGGTCTATCTCCTTGGCTTGGCTGGGAAGATAGAAGAAGCTGAGATTCAACTAAAATTCCAAATTTAGTAACGACTCATCTCCTTGGGCTGCTCTGCTTGGCACTTGTACCACAAGGACAAGACCTACTGTTGCTAAGAAAATGATGGAACTGAGACCTCAATTATAATTTGAGCTAAGTACTTCTTGCGAATGTGTACAGAGCAGTCAGACTATGGAATGATGTTAAAAATATTTGGAATGGAATGCAGAGGAGAGGGGTTAAAAATGAAATTTGACAAGCTTTTAAGCAAACAAAAGCTTTACCAAACATGCATCGTTCCAGAAATTCTAATAGACGCAGATCATGCACAGAGATGCATGTGTATGTATCATCTGTAAATTTGATTCCATTGAACGCACAATAATGTGAAATTTGTGTTACGATGGCTCTATGTTTTTTACTCAGTCTAAGGCCACCTTATCATGTTTGTCGAAGCTTACAAGTATAAACAGTGAATCCCAAAGAATGTGGTTAAAAGTAGGTAAAAATTGTAGGTCCTATGAACGGCGTGAATGGAAATAAAGTTTAATCAGCTTATAAGTAATTATAAGATTTACCAAACAGGAACAGTGGATACTAAATTTACCATCCTTAGCTAATGAGACATTATATTTTTTTCCATATCTTATATGGAATATCAAGAATTTCCTTCAACAAATTAGTCACTGAAGCAAGTCTACAATTCTAACCGCAGAAATCAATCGGCATGGAAAGTATTCTAACAAAAACATCAATATTCAAAGTCATCTACTCTCTTTCTCCAGAGAATTGTTCTGATGAAAATCATAGAAAAAAGCATAAATATTTGGACAAAAAAAATTTAGATGATAGAATGAAGAATCCTGCTGATCATAAATAGATGGGAAAAAAAATTGTTTTAGATGAGATCTACCTCTAGTGTAACAAAATCCATTACTGAAGCATAAATTTTCTCAAAAAAATGCTTAATAATATGGCTTCCTTCCACGCCACCACAACGGGGGGTTAGGGAAAATAATATCCCAAAATTCCTAATGGATTCTGGGAAGAGACCCTCTTCCCCGAAAACAAAAAAGACTCTAATTTCTAGATGTCAAATGCTTGTGCTGTCCTTATTGCAAATAAACTGTTGTCTGTTGACTGCGAAAGTTAACGATATAGGTTTTGACATTTCCCAGGAAAATTGTGAGAGACTAAATTTCAACTGTAAGAAAATCAATTACTATATCAATTATATCTCCCTTGCCTTGCCCTTCTCAGATTTGAAATGAATGGTAAAAACAGGGTACAAAACATACCCACAGGGATGGGAAACGGCAGAGAGAGATGTTCTTGGTCTAAGAATGAAACTGTTCTATACTGGTTTACTATGCATCAGAGAGTCCCATAACAAGAATCGAAGAATTAAACAATCAAACCAGGTAAACACAAACTACCTCCGCCGCTCAACTCTCACATCACAATGCTGCCATCATCGTTGATCTTGCTGCTTCTCTCTTCATCTCTGCAGCCTTTCCACTACCTCTGAAGTACATGTAAACTTGCTGTATATCACGGATATTAATAAAAGTTCAGATAAGACCAGTATTAAGACTGCAAAACCAACAAGTAAAGATGATAAAAACCTGAATAACCCATATGCTAATCAGGGATTCAATAGAGAAGAATCCAAATCCCACAAGATAGAATATCTGCAAATAGGAACACATTTTAATGGTCATAACGTTTCCTCAAAACTATCATGTTGTCCAGCAAACACTGACAGCAACACCAAGCAATTGAGGAATAAAATACTGATTCACTGACTGTTTAAAATTGAAGTACTTCTTCCTATCAGTTCTCACGAAGTTGCATATTTCAATTTATTTGATGATAGTTTGATGTAGATTTCAAATAAATGCCATGAAAGAGAAGTTCAATGACATTGAAATGCCCAAAATTCAATATTCCAGTTATCCAAGTAAGATTTCAGCAGAATTTAGTGATAAAAATATCAGTAGTTTGATATCTGCAGGAAAGCAATTTGAATCACCATATGATCTGAAAAAGCTTACCCCAACCAAAGCGTTACCACTTAAAACGTCAATTGCAGGCAAGATTCCACTGTCAAAAGAAAGATATTGGGATCCTTATCAGCAGGCGATACACAGAATAGAAAACACAAGATAGGATGGGCTTCTTTTCTGTTTATTTTCTTTGCACGTTTAATTATTCTCCAGAACTGCATGCTATTTTCCTTCTGCACATTTTTTCCCCTCCTTTTTTTCTCATTTTTTCTTGCATTCGTGTAACAAAAGTCCATCATAGTTGCATTACATTTGCATTTAAACCAAATATGACAATAAGAACTTACGTCAAAGATTTTCCTTTAAAAATGATGGGAGGAGCAACGGCAGCAAAGACACAGAAGCCAATATGAAACTGCATATAAAGCAAAGGAACAAGAACGAGATTGTCAAAGCACCTTACATGTACAAAATAAAATTTTATAAGAAAATAAACTGTGAACTTACCACGTAACTCAAGAAGAACCAAGTGAACTTCAAAGCACTGTCTGTCCTGCAAAGAGACCAAAGACCAATTATAAAACACATATCAGTAAAATAAAAGCAATTGAGTATGAGTAATAATTGTACATAAATTTGTCTTTAACAAGTTAATAGAAACAAAACGAACTTTCTAGCAATATTACAATACACCAGTGACACATTGTAGTACTACTAAATAAGTGAAAACAAACATCAAACATAGAAAAAACTTGAATTTAACAAATACAGTTTCATATCTAATGGGGTTTGCAAGTCAAACAGTCAGCTAAAAAAAATAAAAATATATGAGATTCATACAAAATTTGCTCAAAGTCAGAAAAATAAATAGAGGGAAAGAAGGGAGCCTTGTAGGTACCTCATTGCACGATAAAGTGGACGATACCAGAATACATAGGCTCCTGGAACACCCGATATGAAGTATATTATAGCAAGAAACCAAATTGTTGGACCTACAACAGGGAAAAAGTATAAATGCTATTATAGGTTTATCGATTGTAGGCAACTTAAAACTACTGTAATATGTTGTGAAACACCCACCTTCCCCTTTAATCCAAGCTAAGGTAACTGCTACAACGTTCCATAGAAGACACACTATCAAACCTGCAAGTCGCCAGCAATAATACCGATCCAGCATAAACTAAGTCAACTCATTATGGCAATCATAAAAATTATCACAAGTGTTTTATATAGCTATATAATTTTTTACTCATCCAATATATTATTATTACTATTAAAGTGAGATATAGGCTTAGACGGGCAGGGGAAACAACATATTGCAGACTCCTAGGCTCATTTGCAGCAAAGATGAAGTCCCAGCACCACCTTCAGGACATGTCTCCATTTATTTCGTTGTTTATTTCTTTCTATGCATCTCTAGGGACACTTTATACCCACATTTTAGATGTAAATGCTGTTACTCTCTCATCTACTCCTGAGTGGCACAATAGTACCATCTGCAGACGTATACATCTGTGCATAAAGCAAAACATTTTCTCTTATCTGGAAGGGTCAAGTGCTTAGGGCTTGCATCTGTTGGACTAACACTGCAATGTAGAAACCAGTCTATATATATATATGTGTGTGTAAAGTGTAAATGAAGCAACAAATTTATGGGTGATGTTAGCTTAGTAGTACTCCATGTAGTATTCTCATAGAAAGAAGTCAAGAACTTCAGTCTCATATATTAAAGCACCAGCAGATTTCTTTCCAACTATGTGAAAAGAATAACCAGAAATCAGAAGCCAAATGAGTAACAGAATTATTTTTTTTAACATAACTTAGAACTATTGCGAGAAGTTTCATCTTCCAAGCAAACCCAAGAACAGCACTATGATTCATCAGTTCACCATTTCTATCATCATCCACCTTGCCATTCCTTTCTCTCCTCCTCCTCCACGTACCATCACTAACCGCAAAAACAAATGAAAACCAAAGAAAAAGACAACTTCATATTCTGTCATCTGCAGTTATATTATTAAAATTAGAAGCTTACTCTCTTTGATATGCATTGCATTTGCACCGATTAAATCAAATTAAACAGCTGAACTTTACGAGTTTCAAATTATGATGGATAAAAGACAATGCATCTGTTGGGGAGAGGTGATACTAAACATGGCCATTATAAAAGGTAAAAGCTCCTAATCAAGAAAAATGCCAACCAAAGTTTAACAACTGTAAGGCTCAGTTTGGGATTGCTTTTAAAACCCTAGCTTAATGTCAAACAATCACATATTTTTTAGGTGTTTGGTAAGCTGTAAAAAGAAAAAACTAATTATGGAAGAATTTGTACCATCTGGAACAGCATATTTTGAGAAGGAATTAAAAGGTAGCTTTGGATATTCTGCTTTTAGTTTCTCCAAGTAATATTCATAAGAATACCAATCCTAACAGTCATAAGCAATAATAATATGTTTTCTATCATAGGTTGTTAGCATTCTACATTTAAGGATAATCTAATTATATAAATTTTGATATAACTATGCTGAACATATTATCTATGAAGTTATATTACATATTTTTATAAAAGTAAAATAGATTTTAAAATACTGCTAATGATAATAATTACAATACAAAATGACACAATTATAATCAATGACCATTTTAGTAATTGTATACTGCCACAACAATGAAACACTTTTGTATCAAACACTCGAATGTTGATTTTGAAACACAAATCAATTCTGAAACAAAATTTTGTTAAACAGTTAATAGATTCTTTCCAAAACTATTAATTTCTTCAGCACAGCTAAAGCATTTTTTTTTTATTTTTTAAATTATAGCAATACCCAACTAATCCAAAATCATCTATATGATATAATTTAGTTGCTCAATGATGTCTATTATAATGTAATTTTCCATTAGATTATTGATTATTCTGTTGCATTAGCTGTATAATAGTGCAGAATGTAAAAACTATGATTTGAGAGAGAGAGGGAGAGAGCTCAGATGAGGCTCTTCTTTTGGGTCCAACCAGGACAGCATTACTTGCAGATGGTAATGGGGTCTGATTAACTGTTTCATTAGGTTTCCTTTTAGTTTTGAGAGATTTTTCTCCTGCAGTACACTTTCTGTGAGCAAACAAATTGTCCATTTCTTTGAAGACATGCATCCGTAAAATGGACTCAATGTTGATGTGCAATTGCATGAGAGATAGCCACTTCCTTCTAGAAGCAAAATTGAGCAATTGATGCAGGGTTAGGTAGACGTTGAGAGAAATAGATGAAGAGAAAGACAAAGCTCACCACCCTAGTACATACACCTAAGCGATACAAATATCACCACCTAGGCATAACTGAACCCTGCGCTTGATAAGTCCATAATCCAATCCTTGGACAAAATCCAACCACGTGTTAGAGAACTTCACAATGAAGTCAGATGAGAAGTGTAGATTGCGAGTTATTAACATAGCTCACAAGCCTTTCCAATATATCCTACTTGTACATTTAGTACGCATACATGAATCCTACTAATTATGTTAGATCCATGATTATTCTTCAAATCATAGGCAGATAATAAATGTGGAAAATTATTGTTCGATTACTCTTCCCTAAAATTTAAAATAGTGATTAACACACTAGTGAGATTTCTTGGGAACTTGTAAATAATGATTATCATGTTCAGGAAAGATAATAGAAGATTACAGAACCTTAAGTCGACAATTATAACAAGATAACCTATGTAAAAATATCACAGGAAAGTGAAAGTACCCAAAAATGACGTGAATGCAACATATTGCAGCTTCTGCAGATGGATTGGAATTTCATTTCCAATGTCATGATGAATAATAGGAAAAAATGGTGGCCAATTTTTTTCCTCAATAACAACTCCAGCTGCCCAAGAAAAGCACATACTAATTGATATGTTAAATAAATAAGAGCAGAGTTCAACCAATCAGGTCTGCATAATATGAACGAGCACACATAAGAAAAGAAATTACATCGTGCAATAGCATCTTCCCTCCGTTTTAGTTCCTACATGATGCCAAAAAAAAAAAAAAAAAAAAAAAAGAAGAAGAAACACTGATTATTGATAGAAATGTGAACAAAATATTAGAAGTATGAGAATTTAATAGTATTTTGAGTAGCAGGTGTACATCGAAATTTTAACATACGGAAGTCATTTAAAACGAAGAAAACTAAAAGAATTAAAACTAGAGATTCTAGTAGAGTTACAGAGATGATGTCAAAGTATCTTAGCATAACAAAGAGCACATACAACAGCCCAGCGACAGTTTTGTTGTCTGGACATCATTCCGATGGAATGTATCAGAAAAAACTTGCACCAACTTGTTTACTCAGATATTCTGGTCACCATAATATGCTATTGTACAAAGGGGCAATAACTTGGCATAAAACCTGATAAATGTCTGATGATTTGCAAATGGACATGAGTCTCTCTAATGCAGGCCCAAACTAAGACAAAACTACTGTATACCAACAAAGTAACAAGATTAGTTCTCTTAAGCATCATTTTCAGTTATAATGTATACTTTTTTCTATGAAATGCATAGCCTTGACTTTGTTCCCCTTATCAAATTATACACACACACACACACACTGGAAACAATAGAAAAGAACCTGTTCCCTTTTTTTCAGTTCTGCCTGTTTAGCTTGCAGTTCTCTTTCTCTGTTTTTCAGGTCCTGAAAAAAGTATGCAAGTAAACTATCATTTTAACTTTGGTTAAACTACAGGCATAGACAACAATTATTCAGTTTGTCAACAAGCATAATTCGTTGACGATTTGACATACATTGGAACTATCAAGAGGAATATCAACCGTTGCACCACGATCATAGCCAGCAGGTTCAGGAGGAAGAGGTGAAAGCCTTGAGTTTGCAGCAGGCACAATTCCAGGATTCTAAAATCTCAGCAAAATAGAAAACATGTAAAATAATTATCAAAATACATTAAAAAATTCCACAAACTACCTGCATAACTTTGAAACAAAAAATTTCTTAATGAAACAAGATTGTGAACTGTAAAATATTAGATAGAGAGGAGAAAAACTATGCATAAAATTACCATCACATATCTAAGCAATAAAGATAACAAGACTTTTAATTCCATTTGCTTCCAAAAACAAAAGATAAACATGACGTTAAACCACAATGATGCGGGAAAAAAAATTTAGATAAATTTTCACTAATGCTTCTTGAACTAATATCCCTATTCTTATTCGACTTAACCTGTAGTTGGTGAAAGATAGTTTTTTAAATGGAGTTTGACTTTAATTTTTAAATGGAGTTTGACTTTAATATGTATTTCATTTAGATTTCTTCCTCGGATTGGAATTTCCTTCCTGTAGATTTTGTTTTCTAGTAAGATTTTTCAGTTTAAGGTTTACATAACCTAAAACTAGGCATATTTAGTCCAGCAAACATAACATTACAGTTTAATAACTCAATTTTTGGTTCGCAAAACTTCTGGTTTGTGGATTTTAAGCCTAAAGTACTTAATCTCTAGTGCTTAATTTGATCTATTCCAGTATTCTTGTTTTCATTCATGTTTTCTTTATTATCTAGTTAGTTAAATCATGTTGTCTCAATCAGATAGTCTCAATCATGAGATTCCATCATACATTTGACTGGGGAAGACATGATACAAAGGTTAAAATTCCTGTATATAGATGCAAAAAATTCAAAAAAAAATTCATTCAAAGAAACAAGCATCCCAAGTATGATCTGTCCCATATGCAAAATCAGCAAGCAGAAAACCCAGAGAGGGCGGGGAACCTAGTTATTATGTCTAGGATTTCAGGAAGTCCAGAGTAACTACTGTGAATTGGAAATTTTCAGAAAGAGAAAAGGCTTACTATCATATAAAATGCACCTCCACCATAATTTGATTGACCCCTACCTCGAGATCCTTGATCCTGAAGTCAGAAGCTCAGATCCATAAATAAATATAACTACAAATTTAGTTAGATAAATAACATGGATATGAGAAAGAAAGAAATGAAAGGAAAGGAAATTTTCATAGGAAGGATCAAATTAAAGGTCAAGTTGTTCTTGTTCATGCCATCACTTTTTTTGTTTTGTTTTTTTTTTTTTTTTTTTTTTTTTTTTTTTTTGATAAGTTGTTCATGCCATGACATAACAAGACAAGTCAGACTTATCGAAGAACCTCTTAGGATTACCAGAGATGTACACTAAGATGTTTGCTTTCATTAAAATTGCCAGAATTTATCCCTATGTAGGTTCTAAAAGCTTGTTCTAAACAACCTTGAGCATGTTTGGCAAAGCTAAAAAAATTTTAAGCTGGTCAAAGATAATATTTTCCCACACATTTCTTAAGAACAAAAACTTAAAAACCACTTATTATCCACACATTCCATTGAACTCACAGCTTAAAAGTTATAAGCACCACCAAGCAAGAACCTAAAATATAATCTAATGTTGCAAATAAATGATAGGTCTTAATGCGATCTACAGTTTGACGCCAGTAAAATTGGGTGAATGATATGGATTGTGGACAGGTATCAATGAATATTAAAACCTTTTAGGGTATCATTCCCCTTTGGCATGCTTCCATAATAACCAAAATCTTTTGATCTGTACCCTCAAGTTTAATTCCTGGACCCTGTGCCAGAAAGGCAGAAACTGATAGAAAGCTAATTACGGAAAGAAAATATAGCCTTTGGCCTCATTAAGATTCAAGTGTATATACTTGTCAATAGAAGTTGAAAAAATAGAAAAAAGAATTGATGATTTTTTTATAGTTGAAGCTTCTACATCTATGGTTTCCATGACAAACAAATCATTGGAAACAATTTCTAATAGAATTTCTTATCTTATCATTCCTACATTCCTAGTTCCAAAACTAAAACAAGTAGATGATCGCTTGACGATAGAATATATGTATATCTTGAAGCTCCTTTCACCAATTTTTTTTTTATCTCCGTGAGTGTGACTAAGACATTGTAGATAGCAATTGCAAGTGTGTCGAGTAGATACTACTCTCAAATCACACCAAAAAGAAAACAAAAGAAATAATCTATCAATAGTAGCTTCTATATTTTTCTGGAGCAAACTTCAGTCACAAGTCTTTAAAAATTACAAGTACTATGGGCATGGACATAATATATTTATCACTGATTCGCCTTAAGAATGGTACCAAAGCTAATTTAACTTTAAAAAAGTCATAGCAGAGTCAATCAAATGAAACATCAAGGTTTTCACCTGTTATGTTAATAATTTAAGATTTGTCCTATAAGAAATTGGGATAAAAACTACAATTTGAATTTAAGTTACCAGATCTCTCATTTCACGCAGCAAACATCAAAAAATCCATCAAGCATTGCATTATTACAGTCACATTGTCAACAAAACAGAACAAATTCTACAAAACCGCAATATCTAAGTCATCAACAGGCATTACATTTATAGCGTATATTGTATTTAAATATTTGAGAATTACCGCAAACGGATTATCTTCTTCTTCATCAAACGGATTGGAATCATAACGGCCAGCCATAACAACGAATTATAAAAAAGAAAATTGAAATTCTGCAAACCAGCTTTAAAGAAAATGGAAAAACGAAAAAGTTATCGAGAAGATTGGTACTGTAAATGGTAAGAAATAGGGTTTTGATTTTCGGCCTCAGGGAGAATGTACGGCCCTCGAAATATTATTAATTTTGATAAATATTTCTCTACTCCTTTAAAGAATGAACTGTTAAATTCCCACCAAAATGGTATTATTGGCAATGTAACTGCCGGGGTAGAATTTATCCGCACGCGAATGCCAGCCTGCCAGACCAATCGTGGTTGCATGTAAATTATATGTCGAAACAATTATGCTACAGACAAAAAAATAGGTTCAAAAATAAGGTGTACATATGTCAATACAAGATTGGATTGTTTGAAAAATAAAAATAACAAAAATCAAATTATCTGCTGCCAAAGCAATCTGTTTTTTCCTGTCTTTGAACTTGAACAAACATCATATTCCATATTCAAATTAATTAAGTTGGATATCAGATCTGATCTATTTCTTGCTAATGGAGTATGTAAATAACTACTCAAAAAAAGGGTAAAGTAAACAAAATCAACACGTAGGTAACGTGTATTTTGGGTATTACATGATGGAAAATATGAATATGGACGACAAAATTATTACGATTTTATCTTGATTTAAAGATGGATGTTAAATAATTAGACAATTTTATCTTTCATACCTAACTCACCTGTGATTTAAAGTCCTTTTTTGTCAAGTAAGATCCAGATTCACAAATTTAAATAGGAAATTTAAAATATCATTTTTGAAAGCTGAGGACCTAAAATTACACTAATCAAAAGTTTAGGGCCTAGATATAATTTTCCTTAAACTAAAACAGATTAAGATATTTTCCTTATTATTAAAATTAATTATCATAATTTAAATTTATTTTGTTTCATATAACTCCTTGTATATATTATTTTGTTCACTAGGATTAAGAGATCCAAGATTAGCAACTTTTAATTGTCAATGTGGTTGATTTCAACCAATTGATCAATTTGAGGAGAAAAAATAGTTTTGCTCTCTTAGCAAAATCTTGAATGACATTTAAGTTTAGGGTTATCGATTCAAGATAATTTCACGAGAAAGCAATCTCATTAACAAAATTGTAAATGTGTTTTGATGGAGAGAGAACTAGTGTTTGATTTATATACTACTTAGGATTGTTACACTCCAATTCTTGATAGTGAGATGTGACATACTGTCATGAAATTTCATGTTGTATGACTATATTTAAATAATTCATGAGACGAATTAGTAAATAGGCCGACTTTTGGTGAAATTTGGCATTGCTAAAACGGAAAGTGGTGTTCAATCTGGTCGAAAGGCGCGTGAGACAATATGAATTGTAATTAGGAGATTATTATTAGCAAATAATATTAGAGGGTTATAAATAGACGAGTTTAAAGAATAAATAAAACTGCAGTTGCCTACCGTTTGAAGCCAGACTCAAACGGTGTGTGTGCATGTTACGTTTTGATACCCAATAAATTCTGGATGATGATATTAAATATTTTTGGATTTTATTTCATAGGTCTCAACCGATGAGTGAAATATCTATCAACACATTCAATTAATTGACTCAACTCGAAAAACAACTTGAGGGTCATTGGAAGCAACTTAATTTAGTTAATATTGCTCACAATCCATTTACTTCTTGGATGACTCTCTTTTGTGTTCCGACCCCTTTACCATTTGTTGTCCATGAGCTCACTACTATTACACCCTAAAACTATATATTGGCCTCAATATGGAAGAAGCCATGTGTGTGCGCGCACTCGTAAAAGGAGGCAACTGACTTTCTTGTGTTTTCTCCCTTCAAGTTGAAACTTGTCTTCCTCTTTTCTTGGTTACATATTGCAGCCACCACATTGTGTTCTTTGTGAATACATTGAGTTGAGCAACCGAAGTAAATTATAGTTGTGAATTGGAGCCATTGGTTGGGTGTGTTTGATAAGGTTGGGATTGGTATACTAAGTGGTGAGTGATTTACACTAATTCTATTATGTCATTAATTTCATGATTTTGCTATCTTGGAGAGTATTTTAGAAGTGCTAACAAGTAATTTTGGTGTTGTTTTGTAGATTGATGGAAGTGGAGGAAACAAGAGCTAAAAGAGGTCAAAGGAAGGAAATAGGCAAAAGCTAGCGAAATTGGATGAAATGACCAAAACGTAAGAGATCCAAAGTTCGAGGATTAAAACGCAATTAATCAAAAGTCTTGTCGAAACTTGAAATGAAGATCCGAGAGTTCTAGAAGCCAATTGGATGAAGGAAGGTGTCAAAGGAATCAAATTTAGTCAAGATATGATCATAAATAATTTTCCAAACAAAAAGTTTTGCACTGGAGTTTTGGTCTCATATTTAGACTCATTTTGACATAGAAAACAATTGAATTGGAGAATGATTCCTGAAATAAAATTGTAGTTCTTTGAATTAGCTTTCCAACGCATCTTGAATCACTTCAATCAGATATCGAACGAAAAAGTTATGACAAAAATACTGAAAGCTGTCCAGTGCAACCGAAGTAGTCCTAAGCGCCCAGGTGCCATGATGCTGAAATTTTGACAGAAAGTCAGCGTCTAGGCGCCCATATTGCAGCGCTCAGGTGCCACCGTGCGAGAGTAATTTTTTTTTAGGTTTTTACCAATCTTTTTCGGCACAACTCATCTCCAAATCTTTTCATAAACTTCAAGACATTATAAACACAGAATTAAAGACCTAAATTAGAGGGGAGCAGCACACTAAAAATCTGTGGAATCAAGCCACGCGTTCTTGACGTATTGAAGAGAAGACAACAAGAAGGGAGATTGAAAAGAGAAATTCAAGAAGATTAACACCAAGCAATTGAAGATTAGAAGCATTCATTGGAAGGAAAAGGAGATCTTGGTGCAAGAATTCTACTTTTTCTTCTACATCTTTATTACAAATTCGGTGATGTATTCTAAGACAATTTCCTATTTTTCTTCCATTATTATGAGTAGTTAAACTTGATTTTAGAGCGAACAATGTAATCTTTTAGAATCCTTTATTTCATGCAATTGAGATTCTAGTGTTTTTATATTTTTTGTGTTGATTTTAATGTTGTTCTTAATACATTTAATTACTTGATCACTAATTAGATAATTTGTGGACAATGATTGCGTAGAGATGGGGATTATTTGTTTAGACCACATGTTAAAATCCGATAAATTGATATAACATGTAGAAATACCTATATTGATTGCTACGATCGTGTGTGAATTCTTAGAACCAATGTTTCGTTTAATTAAATTTAATTTGCATAGAGATATGGAATTAAACTAATTAAATAAGTTCAATGAGAACTCGAGAGGGGTAAGTTGAATACAATAGAAGAATTCGACCGAACACTACCTTAGGTTTTATGAATCTTGATTTATGAAGTAAAGGTGACCAATAGGTGAAATTGTTCCGCCCTAACGTCCATTTATTGTTTGAATTCTCAGTCACTTTTCGTTGAATCCAATCACATTTTTAAGTCTTTAGAATAAAAATCACATTTAATCATTGTTTTTGTTTATTTTCATCAAATAAAAGTTAGAAATAATAAATTGGGCATTAAAAGTACAGTCCTCGTGGAAACAATAATCTGGACTCAAAATGTCCACTTTACTACTTGTTACGATCCGTTCACTAGCGGGATAAAATTGACAACACTGAGCCCGGATTCCACAAATTGAAGATCTATTCCGCCACATCCACACAAAATTTTCCAATGTAAACTTGACAATCTTTAAAAATATTTAAAGAGCATCTAAATCTCAACAATATATAAACATGCAAACTAGATGCTAATATTATTTATCGGGATAATATGAAAAATAATAAGTTTATTTATATAACATCTTTAATTTTGATTGAATCTGTCGCATGCACGAGATACTTTGCATTGGTGGAAAAGCCTTGCAACAACTTGGATCAAGCAAGAAAATTTACATTTGGTATACACTGGAATTCAACGAGATTTTTTTGTTGAGGTCTATGTGCTTAACGATGACAATCCATGACGACCCGACACTAAAGATGTATATGAATCTATATGAGAGTCTTTGTAATTCGTATTTATGGAATTTCAAACACAAAGCAATTTCCAAATGAGAATATGAATGCACTTTTAACAACAAGAAGAAGATCAATGAATGAAGAAAATGTAAGATTTTTATTTCTTAAAACCAATCAAAGAATCATCAATATATTTATAGCTTATTATTGCATATCTTCCCAAAACAACAATTCATACAAGTCACGATCATTTGAAATTAAAATTACATGATGAAATAAGTGAAAAATAGACCATTTATTAATTGGTTATTGATTGTTGAATATAAGATAGTTCATATATTTTGTAATGGAAGATGAACCTTTGCAATACTAAAAAGGTAATGCTTTATTTGACAACATTGAGCATTGATTTGGAAGGTGAGATATACTTTTTAAAATTCGTTCAAAGCGATCGAGAATATTATTATCTCTTCAATTGAACCCTTCAAGAGATGGAAAACATCCGCTTCATCATATTCCTTCTTTTTTCTTCTTGCTGGCACAAAAAAATCAAACCATTCTAAAATACGTTTGAACCATGAATAGACACAATGAGATCGTTTTGATTCTCACAACTTATGTTAGTTGCACCTCACTTTATCTTTCACTCATTCAATCATTTCCCTTTTATTCTTGGTTTAATAAAGATTTATGACTCATGCAAGCTATTTGATTCATGTTACAGTGTCACATTATTAGGGGAAAAAATCCGATAATCTTTTATCATTTTTTATATTAAAAATAAAGGAGTTTTAAAAATTCTCTCATTTAAATTGACCAAATTTGCGAATACATGAAGGTAGTGAAAATACCTCAAATACTTACTATGGTGGCATAGTAGCCAGGCTTTGAACCAGTAATCCTATATGACTAACTGAAAGCACTCCATGGACAAACTTGAAAAATCTTTTAGCATCGATAAATCGATGAGTGAATAGATCACATGCCCTATATCCTAGTTTAATTCGTGAGTATATGAAGTAGTTAGCCAAACTACTTTGATGATGACACCATCTCTGATACTCGTATAGGTTGATTTTTATGAATAATACATACATAACTAAAGTATTCTATAAATAAATATTTGCATTCTAACGTTTGGAGTATTATATCGAAATTCTATTATTAATGATCGATCGTTGGCTTACATTCAACATCCGTATTTGATAAATCAAGGCCTTTTTTGTTGAACTTT